TGAGTTTAAGGATATGTCTTCACTTGTTTGGATGTTGACCATATTGAGCTGGTGCTTAATTCAATAAAGCAATCATGGAGATTGGAAAGTGATGTGGTACTGTGTTCTCTTTATATTGCACCTCACATTTAAAACAGTGCCCATATTTGCTGAGTTGTGATTAATAGCTCTGAATGAAGTTAGATTTTAGTGACCTGTTAATTTAAGATGAAGCAATATTTCACCAATCACTCATGTCCACAATAAGGTTTATTACTAGTTTTCACAATGTAAAGGTCATTAAGTGGGTGCCACTGCACACCTGTTGTTCAAATGATGTCCATACTAAGCATACAAATTGCGGTTATTCCTGTTTAGCTCTATTAAGTCACTTGATCAGCAGATCATGTTGGTATAAGCCTTTACTACAGTAGACATTCTGACTTAAAGTGTTGACATTAAAAAGGCTACATTCTGTTCAAGTGCCTGTGTTAAAAAAAAAAAAAAAAAACTAGTGAAATTGAGTAGAACCAGGACCCTGAAACTGGAGCCGCTATTTTCATTATATAGACCTGTGCATCTCAAAATGTCTTCTGTAAAAAGGCCTATTTAAAGCACTAGTCGGCTACAATAACATACTGCCTCTCCCTTAGGCATGGTGAATGCATTTTCTCTGTACACATGCAGTGTTCAAAAGCGTATTGACAGTTTATCAAAGCACCCACAAACCTTTATATTTACACGAGTAAAACAAACAAAGCAGCATGTTTGTTAAAATATATATATTTATTGGTGTATTCTCTTTGGATTCTAAACAGGCCTTCAGTTGCAGTCCTTATTGAAGATGCGTTTCCTTTGCTGGCAGTCAACGTTAAGGCAGCGCTGGGTGAGAAGTTTGCCCGTCAGGGAGAAGGAGGACCACTTTCTCTGCAGAACACTTGGGGTGTGCAGGGAAATGAGAGCCAGTGTGACCGCAAATACTGCAAAATTGCATATTTGATTAAAATAGCTGTGGACTGGATGGCTCAGTGTGGCAGGTTGAAAATAAAACAAACAAAAAAAAAAAACCCTCCATAAACAGATGATATGCTATCTTAAAAACAGCCTCACTCTAAATAAATAGGTCAATATAAATGTAAACTAAATAACATGCATTTATCAAAAGGGGATTTCTCCTCAAATCTGACGAGTATGTACATTAGAGAAAGTCTCCGGCTGTATCATTAATCTTCCTGTGAGTGAAACGTGGATGCTTGACCAGAAAGTGTCTGGTGCAATTGATGGTGGAAATGTACTTTTGGCAGCCTCTGCCATTCAGATAATTCATAAATATCAACCCTCAAACTGCAAGAAAACAAATTAGTAGAGAGATATGGGTCTTTAAACTTTTCCTGCGAGTCTTTTTCTTGTTTGGGTGACTAGCCGAGGGCCCCGTGGTCATCTAGCCAACTTAACTAGTTGTCAAATCCCCTGTGCAGTTCCAATCTGAAACAAAAATGAACATCTAGGCTTGTTGTATGGTTTCACAAGGAAAGACATCGCCTAGATAAGCAGTAACTTAGCACGCCGATGAATGCCGACAGCTGGTGGTACCTACTGTGTTGATGGCTGCAGTAAGGCCTTAGTCGTAAGCCATCTCTTGACTCCTCCGCACACAACGTGCCACCTTTTTCTTAAAAACTCCTTTAGGATCCTCCCGCCACTCTTTCTGCAGGATACAACACACACTCATCAACGACCACCTTAGTGCGACCGTGACTTCCCCTCGTCCTTTCTTTCTACCTAATTCTTGGCCAACACATTTTGCACAAAAAGGTTCCAACACAGCTGAACATTAAATGTTTTACTTACAGCTGCGTCTACGTTGGCAGGAGAGTCTCCATTGGGGTCCGCCAACATGGAGATAACGCTGATCATGATGGTCTCAACTGTATGGATGGGCAGCCAGCGCTCCTCGGGCTTCTCATAGCCGTACTTGTCCTCGCCAGGTTCGTGCAGGATGGAGATGCAGACGTCTCCATTTTTTGCCACTGGTAGAAAAACAGGAACACACAAGCGATTACCGACACGTCGGGCTGCGCGATAATTCAATTTGACAATTTTATCGTCTGTCAATGGACTCATGTCGTGATGAAATCAATACATCAGATGACAGGGTACGCAATTCCGTCTTCTAAATTGATAATAACAAGCACATTTTTATGAAAAACCTGAATTGATCAGAATTCTGCTCACGGGAATACCCCAGTGTAGTTAAACCAAACTATTGTCTTAACCGGATTAATGTGCATGTATGTAGTTCTTAATTCAATTTAAAAATACCGATAACTGGATTGTAGATTTTGGCCATATTGCCCGGCCTTACCAACACGTTTGTACTGAAGCAGAAGATCAGGTTCCATGCTGCAGCTCTGCACTCGGCAAAAGTCAAACCCAACAGATTGAATTACAGTTACAGTAAGAGACTCTCGTCGAGGCATCTTTACCATAAATAATATCGTAATACCATTACCACTAATACACTCACAGCAACTAGTAGCCACTGTTTGAATATTAAAATACCAACACAGGGTATGTAGTCCATTCCCCTGAAATGAGGCCATTTACGGCTATATTTCTAGTTAGTTCTTACCATTTGGATGCCAGATTTCTGTGACGAACTTCATCTTGGGAGGTTTCAGAGGATAGTCACGAGGGAAGGTTAAGGCGACTTTGAAGAAACCTCCTTCACTACAAATGACAAAGAGGATGGTGTTAATATCTATAATAGAGGGAATATGAGGGAAAGTAAGTCCACTGGTTAGTGATTTCTCTCACAATAACGTGTCTTGAGGTCCAATGACCACCACTTCCCACTGATAGATGTCATCGTCATCTACGAGACCCGCAGAAAAGCCTTCCACCGGGTTCTTGTTGAGCTCTGAAAATGCAAAGTCACAATTAGACTGATGTAATGTTATCTTAAACTGTTTGACATCAAGGTCTATCAACACGAGTAGTAAGCTGATCAAATTAGCTGATATACTGAAAAGACACCTAGCAATGCTTAGCTGGTAGCTGAATATCCAAGCACGCGCAGTAGTGTGTGTGTGTGTGTGTGTGTGTGTGTGGTGATTTTGAAATCCCTTCTCTGGTTATTGAGCAACAACTAGCCTTAGTCATAGCCTCTCTAACAGCTGTCTGGTACGCTTGTCTGTAACGTTACACGTGCGTGCCACCAGCTGTATATGTACCTAAGAACACAAGTTAATCAAACAACACGTTCACGAATGAACTAATGGTGTGAGTGAGCGAATTTACCTGCTAATTGTTTACGTAACAACAACGAGGAACGTTCCGTCATTTTATAGCTACAACGTTATATTTCCCGACTCCGTCACTTGTATCGATCAACGCCAACTAACTGTCAAACCGTCAACACGGTTAAATTCAACATTGGGCAGAGAATGAAGCTAACACCGTCCACGTTCTCTCTATTGCCTCTGTGGTCAAGACCGATAAATAACATGAGCCGAAAAAAAAAAAATGGTGATATAGCATGAAGGAATTAATCCCTTTGTATAACCTGTCAGGCAGGCCTTTCTTCCAGGGTTTGTTTGGTGCTCTATGAGTTTCACCGATTGATTCTGACTTAATGTCACACAAAGGGTCATGGATGATACACACAGCAGTTCATTTTGGCAAATGATTTAGAAGTTATTGCTCACACAGCGTAGAATGTGCCGCCTCTCAGGTAAATCTCAGGGCATATTATGCTCTTTGTTAAATATTCTTCTTCGTGTGGTTTAGCAGCAGACAATACTTCCATTGCTGCATTACTGCCTCCAACCGTTTGTAATGAATACTACATGTTCTCGTTTTGCACCCCTGTGTAGAAGATACAGCACCAAGGGACCAGAAGTTAAAACTACTCTGAAATGATTCCGTTTTTCCCCACCTCAGTTATAATCCTGCTTTAACAGCCTTTGGATCCTCACGATGGGAAATTAACCTTACAGAAAATATGTTGAACAGTAAACTGAATAAATCAAATTAATGCAAAATCAATTTTTTTAGAAATGTATGGCTATGGCTCACAGATCTGACTTCAACTCTACCAAACAACTTTGTTATGAATTGGAAAGCCAACTAAAACCCAGGTCTTATTGACCAACAGCAGTGCTTGAGCTCACACTGCTCTTGTGGCTAAATGGGAGCAAATCCCTGAGCTCAACTCTATGCAGCTTATAAAACAATGTCTGAGTCTTAATGATCTTTATTGCCGACAGAATGTGTCCCCTGCTGAAACACTGGCATGGCCTATACTCGCCTTCCCCCACTCCTTCTGCCATCTCCGTATTTACCGCTTTCAGATCTCTCTAAGGCAGCTTCAAATCCACATCGTCTCACTCTATTCTTCACCTGCCACAACATCACAGCCTACTCGTGCTCCAATCTCAAAAAATACAAAAGCTCTAAAACGATGCAGACTTGACCAAAGATCATGCCCTGTCAGTGCATCTGCTGAAGAAAATACCTGTATACACAATAAATGTCGTGCTCACAGAGCTGCCCTTTTCTTCTTTATTTTTGGTTTCTCTCGGTGAACCTCAGGCTCATGTGGTATATCTTGACTCCTTACACCTGTTCTCGTATGCCTTAATAGTACATCAAATATATAACATGCAGGCTTATGGTCTTCGTGAATGGCATAGAAGTCACATATTGGTGTTTTATACTCTCACATCTGTCTTCTTTTATAGCTTGTCGGGTCTCCTGCATGTTTCAACATATACTGGTCGAGAAATGAAACCGCATATAATCTTTCTGCTCCAACCTGCTTTTCCAGCTTGTAAACATTCACTACCCTCTGCATGATCTTAAATACTACAGTTGCCAGCTCATGTGACATCCTTTCCTGGTTTTAAAATGGAAAAATTGCAATGTATCCCCTTGACATTGAACACTACATCATCCAGTCTCTCAAACATCCCATTGTTAGGGTAGTTTTTACTTTAATGATCCAGCTTCATATTGACCCATTCTGTTTGTCCAGCAATGGTTTGGAGCTTTCCTAATTTATCAGGCATTGGGTTTCCACAACATTTTACTCCTCCTCCTCCTCAGCCCTTAAAATATCCCCACGAGTTCAGACTTTCCTGGAAATATGTTAGTTTTCTCTGTGTTACATGTAGCAATAGTGTCCCCATCTTATAATACTTGTATTCTTAATACCCATCTTTAACCAACAATGATCTATCTACTCATGTTTTACAGCCACCAACAATGTAAGATATTAAATTATAGTTTTCCGGCCACTTTTCTTACCACTATTTATTCTACTGGATATTCTCGCAGCTGTCTGGATATTATTCATTTCATCATCTGCATTATCACAAGTTACCTTCCTCCATTACACGGTGCAACAAAACTGTAAAAGAACCAGTTCATCCTCATAAATATCAATACATCTTTTAATTTCTGCAATGTAGGTAACATAGCCACACTATGTCATTGTCTTGAACTCATTTGTATCCTGACTTGACATCATCACGTGCGTCTTCTTATGTCGCCTGACAAAGCCCTCTGAATTTCCTTCATATATATCTGTTTAACTCCTCTACTACACCTCTGACTCCTCCGGGGAACATCTCTGTTGCTTCAACCGGCATTGCAGTCACCTCAGGTCTTTTACTGACTGACGTTGTTTTTTTGCCCACAGGCACTCATGATAAATGTAGAGAAAAGAGAGTGTTCTAATCAAATATGTATCAGGGGGAGTTTCCACTTGGGTAGGTCTTGAGGGTGGTATTTCCATGCACACCAGGGTAGGTTGACAGATCCTGCTGTCACCCTACGTTTTTCAAAAAGCCTTTTTTGCATATGATCCTTGCCACATCGCCCCCATCATCTTGCATCCCTGCAGACTACAGAAACTGTCAACATTTGAAAGAGGACAAAGGTAGGTGTATACAATCTTATATTTGGTAAATATGAGCCATACACAGAAGTTGACACTTAGTTGACACTATCTATAAAATGTTAACAGAACCAAAAGCTTTTACAAATTGCAAAATGCTAATGAAAACACATTAAAAACACATATTTATCTTTGACAAAAAAGCGAATAAGATAGACATGGGAGGGGAGGTTACAAACCTTTACCTATGGTCATGAGCTTTATTTAGTAACCGAAAGAACGAGATTGCGGGTACAAGCAGCTTAAATGAGTTTATCCAGTAGGGTGGCTATAGGCTCCCCCTTAGAAATAGGGTAAGAAGCTCAGAGAGCCACAGGAAGTTGAGGTGGCATCGGGCAGTTCTGGTCACCTTCGCTTTGGCGGTTTTAAAGGCACGTTCAACTAGTAGGAGACCCTGGGGTGTCTCATTTGTACAACGCAACGATGCTATTAAATGCTGCGTAAATCATTAAGCAGTGCTATAGCACATTGATGTCAAAAAAGCTGCATGCATTTGCCTCTGTGTGACTAAAGCACTGAAACCAGAGGAGGAAAAAGATACAGAGCCCTGGCCAGTGGCTAAAAGCAGGTAATTTGTTCCATTGATTAAAGCTGTCTCATTGCCGTTCTGAGGTCGAAACCCCATTGCAGTATGCGATTGATACTCTTTAAAATGAGAAAGGGAATAAGTTGCTGACACGCAACTCTTTCCTTGAGAATTAACCATGAAATGGAAGATTAGGCCCCTTTAGAAAGTGTCTTGAAAAGTGCACACTAACCTGTGATTGAATTGCACCTGGAAATGAGATATATAATCACCATATTTTCTCTAAAATGTCATAAAGGTCTGATGAGAAAAAATATCAAGTGGGAGATTGTGACTGGCTCTGAGAAATTAAATTTATGTTTGTTTCAGCATGGTTAAAGATAGATCTCGTCAGAACTATAGGGTCATTCATTACTAGCTTAAAAAAAAACAACATTCTGGTTAGGCATGTGTAACTTGAACAGCATGGAGCTAAATTTCACATACTCTCCTATGCTTGGTGATTGGACTTATCACACAGACTACTTAATGTTGGTATGATCCCAGACCTGTACTATACGTATGTATTCGTTTCACCTAGAGTCTAAAGATAAAAGTTAGTCTGATGCACGTGGAGAGCTGGGCTCTCTGAACTCAGCGAGTAATGCTGCAATGTTGTAATTTGGAATTTAAGGAATTCAACACAAGTTTGAGCCTTGGGCACTGCTGTTTATAAAATATAGTCCAGGTGGACCAGCATTCGCTGACTCACTTGCTACTCAACATGAAAATCTGATCAAAGCTTAACTACATTCTCAAGGTTGTGCACAAACTATGGTCTCACCTGTGCATTTGACCGTGTCTGCTGTATTTTTTAAATTTGTTTTAGAGTGAATTTAATTAACAAAACCCTGTCCACACGCGCCTGATGGCTTGTTTCAAGTTAAGTTTGTTCATGCCGACAGTCATCAAAAGTTTGTTTGGAAAATGTTCTGCCCATGTGTGCTGACAATGCCACTGCAGTCAGTCATACTCATTCCTTCTTGTCTCGCAAACTCTTGTTGAACACAATCTGCTGCTCATAGTGTTGATTTGATGTATTGTGGAATATGCTGTTGCTTCAGCTGATACTATAATGTTTGATGATTCATATTAGCGATATGTTCTGCTAGTCATGAAACTGCAAAATAGCAAGGTGGTAGAAAGGTATTGTCATGGTGCTAAAGCAATTATCTGAAAGTTGTTACTATTGAACTGAGAGCTCGTGGGCTTATTGGCTGTTTTGGGACTTTGACAGTTGTAACAAGGGTCACAACAATTTGCAGCCTGGCATTAACAGTGTGTTTTTTTTCCCAGACCAATGGGGATTCTGAACTTTGTGCACTTTATTATTTAGGAAACCAAGTGAAGTAATTAATAGATTAAAACCTCAGAGGAACAGAGATTGTACGCTCATCTCTATCTGTTTGGTTTTCTTTCAATCCGTGACACACATTGTGTCAGAACTACCGCCACGAAATGTGCAGCGCACATTCAAGCAGCAGCAGAATGAAAACTATTGATTTGAGTGACTCTTTGACTTTTTCCTCCAGCAGTGTTTGTTAAGTACGTCCACAAAGTGCTGCAGTTTCTTTGCTCAGGAGTCCCAATTAATGGCTTGACCGTTTCTGGCCAGCCAATAAGAACAACATGATTAAAGTATGTTTCAGTATCCATAAAGCTACATTTCTAGAATAAGGCGATCAACGTAGAGACTATTTCCTCTGCCATTGTTCATGAAATTTAGCGAAATTGATCAGAATCTGTTGAACCAGCGGCCTCTGTTTAGAATGCAAATGCTTGAATTTTAACTATTTCAATGTATACTGCAGAAGTGCTTGAATGGTTCAGCACCATGGAGAGAGACATAGAGGGCGATTGCAGCTTTGACATAGCAACCTCCTCTTTCGCTTTATATTCTATAATATACAATCAATACAATACGCTCATGAAATATCATTATTTCACTCAATAACTGACTGGCGTACGTACAG